AAAAGAAGAGAAAGCCACAGGAGCCCAAGCAATAGAAACGAGTGACATCTTCTGGACCTGCTCTCAGGATGGGTGGACACTGTTCTGGTCTCCCAAATTTGGTAGCAGACAGCAGCTCTTGGTGACAACTCCCAGCCCAGCTTAATGCTACTCTTGTGTGCAGGAACAAGCTTCCTGGAAGAGGAAGTGAGTTGGGCTAAGTAGGTCCCCAGTCTTGGTGGCAGCCCCAGTCTGGGGCCCAACAGAGGCTGGAGACACAGCAGACAGCCTGGCAGTGGGTCAGTCACTGGCCAGGAGTCACTGGTCTGGCCGGCACTTTCTCTCCCTGCAGCACCTGCTCCTGATATGCCCTGTGGTTAAGGAAGTGGACTCTGGGGTCAGGCTGACTCTAGTGGTGTTGCTACTTGGTAGCTGTGATGCCTGGGCTAGTTAAGTGACCTCTTGATGCCCTGGTTTCTTCTCCGTAGACAGGGGTTTCTGTCCTGAGCTGTAAGGATTAGCCGCTGTGGGGTAGTGACCTCTTACCTTATTGTGGCATCAGCCTTCAAACTGAGGATGGGTCCAGTGGGAGTGAGTAGTGGCCTTCAAGAGAGGTCTTCTAATAGGACAGTGAGACAGAGGTAGCCAGAAGGTCATTGAGGCATTCCTGCAAAACAGCTTTTGGGTGGAAATGGTAAGAGCTGGCAGAGGCAGTAAAGGGGAAGGAAGGCTCCCTTGACAATGGACGGATGAACCCCAAATAAGGGAGAAGTGCAGGATTCAAGAGCAAAGCGCATAAGCACAATGAGGACAGGGTCTTTGGTCCCTCGGTAGCCCCCTAGGCCTGGAACAGGGCCCAGACCTGAGCTAGCCGTTGTCAGGGCCAAGCACCTGCAGCTGGCTGTGCGGGGCCAGAGCTCGGCCTGCCTGTCCACACGTGTGGGACCTGCCCATGGTGGAGCCCCAGCTCCCATAAGAGAAGGACATAGAAAGGGAGGGTACTCTCAGGCAGGAAGGCAAAGGGGTCACAGAGGCATGTCTCCTTCCTGCTGGGCGGGAGAAGGAATCTCCTGTCTGGGCCTCAGGAGAAGCAGGAGGCAGCCAGTAGGAGCCCCCGGGGAGGGAGGTGAGGCAGAGAGACAGCAAGGAAGGAGCAGGTCGGACCCTGGACGAGAGCAAGGGGAGATCAGTGCCCCCGCACAGACTGGGCATTGGGAGCCTGGTGATGGAAGCTGATGGAGAATTGGAATCTTACCTGTCAAAGTCAATAGGCCCCTAATGAGGCAGGAAGTCAGAAATCAGGCTAAAACCCACTGAGGACTATCAGGCTAAAACCCCTCCACGCTGTTCACACGCTTCTAACCTTAAAGAAACCTTCTGGGAAGTGGTAGTTACAGGGTGACAAAATATTCCTTTGAAGCTCAGCAATTCCTACAGTTTAAAATTACTAATGCACTATTAATATTTAAATTAGCATCAAGAGAAGGATCTCATTTTTTAAATATTTTAAATTTCTTCTATCGATATCTGGATCTTAGAAGATGTTCAGCTAATGCTACTGTGTTAATTTCTAGGGGGTTAGACTACTGTGTGTGTTTTTAAAAATATTCATTTGAATACTTTTCTGCACGGTTGGCATTCATTTACAGCAAATTATGCGTGATTTTTACAAAAATATTTGTAACTTTGCTTTCTTTAAAAACGCAATATAAGGCTGGGTGAGTTGCCTCAATCCCGTAATCCTAGCACTCTGCGAGGTAAAGGTAGAAGGATTGCTTGAGGTCAAGAGTTTGAGACCAGCCTAAGCAACAGCAAGACTCTACCTCTAATAAAAAAAGAGAAAAATAGCTGGGCACTGAGGCAGGCATCTGTAGTCTCAGCTACTCGGGAGGCTAAGGCAGGAGGATCACTTGAGCCCAGAAGTTTGAGGTTGTTGTGACCTAGGATGACACCACGGCACTCTAACCAGAGTGAGAGTCTCAATAAACACATAAATAATCAATATAAAAAGATCTTATAGTAGTTAATGCTGCGTGGACGTAATTCCTATCTTGGTGCTTTTCTGTTTTGTTTTTGTTTTTGTTTTTTTTTTAGTAAAAAATAAAGGCTATGGAGCCAAAGGGAGGGCCCGACTCATGAGATTCGCTTTGTGATTTTTATTTCCAACAATGCTCCTCCAAACAGATGTCAGGGTGAGTTTCTACCAGCAGGGGAAGAGGAAGTGGCTGTGGCGAGCGCCCCTCCAGGTGGCAGCGTGGCCGCTGGCTGCCCACGCCCACTGCAGCATCCGGCTGCAGGGGCTGACCCCAGCCTTCCTCTCCACCTACAGCCAGTGGGAAACCGTCAGGTGTGGGGCTAGACCTGTCCCATGGTGCCAAGAAGGGTAATGGCCCCATCATGGCTGGACCCCCATTCGCTGTGTCCCTGGCCCCTGGTCCACTCTTTGTGTTCTCAGAACTTCCCTCCCCTAGAGATGATGCCACACACCAGTTCCCCTCTGGAGGACACACCTGTCCCATCTGCCACCCTTCCAGCCTCTCCCGTCGACCACACCCTTGTGGAAGCCTAATGCTTCAGCCATCAGCTCTTCTTCTCTCCTCATCCACAGACACCGGGCGGTTCTGTGCCACTTGCCCTGGGTCCGACTAGCAAACCTCGCCTGAGCCTCTCCTGGGACTCTCCCTCAGATCAGGACTCTCCTTCAGATGGCCAGGCAGCTGTTGGCCTCTTGGAAGACAGCCTGCTCAGTGCCTCCCTTAGAAGGAGCGGGCACAGGGTTTTGGTGTCCAGGAAACCTGTGGATGACTCCTGGACAATTCCAGAGCTCTCCCAGTAGCATCTGACAGTTCTTGCTTTGCTTTTATTATTGCCATTCATTCATTCATTCATTGACTTGCCATTTGTTCATTCATTCATTGACTCGCACACTCACTGCAGGGCGGACTGTATGTGTGGAGTCTGCAGAGTGTGGGCCCTCAGCCAGATAGGTGAGTGGGGAGGTGGTGTGGAGAGCAGGGACAGCTGGCGGAAACGCAGCCCCCTCCCCTTCTGCTGGGCAGGGGGCAGGCCAGCTGGCCCCACCAAGGCTCTGTCTGTAGGTCCAAAGAGCTTACAAGGCACTCTGGAGAAGGAGGACTCAGGCCAGCAGCTTCCGAGCTTATCTCCACCATGACTCTTCATGTTATTTGCACAACTCTTCCCCACCCCCGCCTTTCCATCCTTCCCTGCATTTCAAAAATGATGGCGTATCAGGGAAATGGCTCCAATTAAGCAATATGAAAACAACTGAAGTTGCCCAGCACTGACCTACCTGCTGGGCGATAGGACCCTGACCCCAGAACAGAGTTATGCCCTCTCGATTGGCTGGAGTCACCTTCTTTTAGGTCAGTGTGGGGTTTCCACTGGGCTTCCTGAAATCTGTAGTTCTGCTATCTATTAGGCTTTTCTGTTATAAGGGGCAGCCCAATTTTAACCAGTTTAGACAAAAGAAAGTCCTGCGAGCAGACTGCAGGCCGACATGGTGCCCGGGACTCTGCTTTCTTCAGAGGGCTGCCGGCAGCTCCAGGGCTACGCACCCCCAGGCCTGAGTCCAGACAGACAGAGTGGTGTTAGCCTGAGTCTGTCGGTCACCCCGATCTGACCAGTTTAGGCCTGAGCCCTCTCTGATCCCACCCTGAGCTATGGGCACTGATATCCTGACTTGCCAGCCCTGAGTCCCACGCCCATGCCAGCCGAACCCCCCAAAACACATGGACAGGACAGCCCCAGAGAGTAGCACCAGGGAACCCTCCAATGCTGCCCTCACAGACACGACTGGGACCCACAGTCTCAAGCACTGGGAGGCAGGGAGCCCACCTGCCATGTTCTGTGAGGATCACAGAACCCACAGCCGTCACCAGAGGAGCAGTTCTGGGCTATTTCCCCAGGAAGTGCTTCCCGTGGGACAGGACAGCCAGGGACGTTGCTGCAGCCTCTGGTTGCCAGCCTCCATTAGACCTTGTGCCTCGGAGGCCCTGGTGTGTGTCACATGTCTCCATCCCCTCTGCTGTGGGGGTCCCTGCCCAGAGCCCTCCTTTTCTGGGTAGGCATGCTACTCCTGTTGCTACCTTGCTATGTCACTCAACCTGCTTGGGTCCTGCCTGCTGTTTGTGACAACTAGCGTATCTCCTGAAGCATTTAGGTTCTGGGAACATGACACAGATTGGGGAGGAGAACTCAAGCAGGGACAGAGAAGACAAGCAATGGTGCTGGGCACTCCTGCTTCCCAGGCTCCCCCCGCCCAGACACCTGACATACTCCACTGGGGGGAGCTCCTTCCCATGGAGGGGGGAGAAAGGGGGGACTCTTCTCAGGCCTGCTCACCTCACCCACCCTGGTCTCTCCCACCAGGCCCACGGAAAGACCCACACTTGCAGCTGTCCTCAGGCCTGGGCCCACCTTTCCCCTCCCTCCAAGCATAAGTAGCACACCCATCCCCCAAAGAAAGAATCACAGCATGGATTTTGGCAAAACAATTTGATTGTTTAGAAAATAAACGTTACATTTCACATACAAAAAGGCATTTTAAAAACCTTTCCAAAAGGCACTTGTGAATGTGTCTCATCATCTCAAGCACCTCTAAGTTTCCAGTGTTTCCATACAAACCAGTGGTCGGTTCCCTCACTGCATGAAAGGGTGGCACATTCTTGCTGCTCAGTGGCGAATGGCTCATGCTCCTGTCTCCTCACCCACAGGGAACAGTCCCTCTTCTCCCTACCTGGCAGAAGCCCAGACCCCAACTTTGCAGGCCAGGGCAGGGAGCGTAGGACCCGGATCCAGATGCACAAAGCCCCGTCCCTGTCCAGTCCTGCTGTGGCAACAGCCTCTCCACACTGTTCCAACTTGACCTTCCCGGCTGGAATCATGGCTTTCACCCAGGCACAGGCGGGAACAGGCTCCCAGGACCCAGAAGAGGCTCTGCCCCTGGGGTCTGCTATTAGCCAGCTCTTCGGGGTGGACAGAAGTGGGGGGGCAGGCTGTACATAGAGGCAAACTAAGGTCTTGACTGCTGGCAAATTAATCCAGGATCCTCTTCTCCTGTGCTCATGCACCTCCTAAAACTGGGTAAAGCTAAGGACCAAAAAACTTTACACTGTCAAAGCTAACTACTGGCCATTCACACACATTCCCTACAGCTCTTAGCAAGGGACACAAAAGATGCAGAGACTGCCTTTAAGATACCTGAAAGCAAGGCAACAGTTCGAAATGAGATCATCCTGGGAAATCAAAGGATAGGGAGAAATGTAATTAATCCAATGCTCCTAATCTCCCCTCCCTGCACGCGGGTCACACACAGACACACATCTCCACTGACTTGCAAGTTGGCTGGAGGGGAAGTTTCATCCAAGGGCCCATTTTCCCACGGCTGGCTGCAGTTTCAGAAAGAACCCTGTCTTGTGCTGGTGATAGCCTGAGTTTACACCTTGCTCAGCAAAAAGCTGAGGGAGCCTCAGTTTCTCACTCACACCCAACTCCAAGCTGCAGAGGCTCCATGCTCACTCTGCTACCGTGAATCCTCAGGAACACACACGGACTGGGCTCCCGCTCTCTTGACCTGGGTGAAGACATAGTTTGCAGGGAAGACTGATATAAATGGGGGGCAGGGCAGAAAGGGCAGGATGGGGAGTTTATATGGAGGCTACACAGTACGCAGCAAAGAGAATCAAAGGACATGCTAGTGTCCAGCGTAAACCCTCATCAAGCAACTGCAACTGAAACGCTCAGAGTGTGGAGGGCAGAGCAGTGCCGCCAAGACGGTCTCGGTCACTGTGCTCCCTCGGGTGCTGAGCAGCTGCCACAGCCTGGCAAGGTGGAGGAACTGCCTTCCTCCCCATGGAAATGTCACTTGAACAATGCGATTAGCACCTCTCCAAGTGTGAGGGCCTCAGAGTGGCTGGTGGTGCTCAGAGTGGAGTAGGGAATGCGCTGAGGCTGATGCTCCTCCATCTCCCCGGAGGGGATGACAGGGGTGAATGGCCCCCATGCGTCATCTGGCCCCAGACATTTGAAGGCAACAGAACTTCTGAGGCCCTCTCCCCGCCAGGGCTCATTTGCGGGGTGGACAGGTGGGAATGGTGGCCTGCTACCACAGCCACCTGGTCCCCCTCACCACTGGCCTTCCTGGGCTTTGTCCATTCTCTGATGCTGGGGTGCTGCCAAGTAGCTTTGTACCCATGGACTGAGGTCTAGGGGAGCCCCATCCACGGGAGATAACAATACAGCTGGGTGAAACCGCTTACGTGAGGCAATGTATATCCTACAGGGAAAAAAATTTTTGTTCCTGAAAACTAAATGCTCAGAAACAGCCCCTGGTGGAACCTTCTGCCTTTCTGCTCCATCACATGCTCCCTGCTCCCCTCCTGGGCTCTGTGAGAACCAGGACAAGAATGGCACCAGGCAAGGCAGCGGGGACCCCCACACACCAGAGAGACGACTGCTGCCTATTTGGAAAGAAAACCCTCCAGAGAATACATTGTATTCTGGGGCATCAGGGCAAATGGTAGGATGCGTTGATTATGCTGCTAATTTGGGGGCCCAGCGGTGGGAATAAAGCATGTCAGGAGAGAAACGTGCAGCAGGGAACAGTAACAAGATGAGACTATTTCAACTTGCAATCAGCAGAAAACTGTGCCCCCAGATGAGGAAACAGAGTCCAGCCTACAACAGCCTGGGGAGCCCCTTGCATCTTTCTCAGCCCCAAATGGTGGGATGGCTTGCTCTAGAGATGCGACGCCTGTCTCCCATAGGCCCCCAAGTACACACGTGGGCTCCTCACACTGGAATCGCCGTCCCAACAGGAACCTGGACTCTAGGGAAGGCCGCTGGCAGGTGTCTAGGAACATAGCTCTGGGATACCAAAGACATGGGTTCCAAGCGGGCAGCTCCTGTCGTCTCTACACTGCAGTCCCCCTAAACTGAGTTCAGGTTCAAACTCATCAGTTAATCAGGACCCTACTGCTCACCTTGCAGGGCTGTGGGAGATCACATGAGACCCTGCTGCACAGTGTCTGGCCCCAGCCCCTCTGTGAAGAGCACGCCCCTCGCACTCTGCCTGCCTGGGCACAGGCCTGTGGTGCCCTGAGGGTCCAGAGACCAGTCCTTCCCTGTGGGAGCAGAGCACAGATCCTCCCTTCAGAACTGGGTAGAAAGTGGGATTAGAGCAGCATTTTGCAAACTCTGTATCAAATCACTTCAGTGAATTACAAGCAGCATTTTTAAAAAAGGAAAACTAGAAAGCAGAGGGTACCTCAGGTCCTCTGGGTAAGAAATTCTTTATAAAACTTTCTCAAGACAGAGATTTATGTACAAGTGGGACTGAGGCATGACAGAAAACATTTCCTTGTGGATCATGATCTGAAAAGTGTGGGAACCCCCAGCCTGGGGGCATCTGGTTCTGCTGAGGCTCCCTCCTATTAGAGGGTGCAGGGAAAGGGGGCAGGTGGGAGCAGAGGAACACAGCTCCAACTTCCCCAAAGTCATCTTAAGAGGGAAATGAGCCTGGAAAGGGACTCTTTGGCATCTAGCCCCAACCCCTCTCCCATACACACGCTCTGCACAGACAGATAAATGGTACACTGGGAGACTAGTCATTCCTCTGGGTAAGAACAGGACATTCTAGACCCAGGCCTGGCTGTGACTCACTATTATTCAGAAAGGGTGACATCAGGAGCCTGCTCACCCTTGATCCTGGAGGGATATTCGGGCATGTGAAGGCCCTTTCTCTCCGGTGTTGCAACCACAGAGCACTCAGCTCCTTAAGAACGGATGGGGAGTGCTGTGCCAGGCACCCAGGGAGACAGATCATGGAAATGCAAAGAAATACGGCGCCGGAAACTGCCGCCAGGGGAGGCTGCGGGGACGGCGCAAGGGCTCCCCCATGCGGCAGGCACCCGCAAGCACCTGCATCGCCCCGAGCACCGGCCCAGCCCGCAGACCAGAGGGTTAGCGCTGGACAGAAAAGGGAGGTTTCTGGGCCCTGGCACCGTGGTTCTGTTCCACTAAGGGCAGCGCTCCGGGTATAAAGAGAGATGCTCCGTCTGGCTGGGATCAAAGTCTATCCTGCGTGGGCCGGAGGCTCTGGAATCACCCCACAGGCACACATCTCAAATGCAAGCTGGATTCTGTCAAATCCAGAGCCTTGAAGAAAGTGTAAACAGTCCAAAGTGAAGGAACAGACTTCGTGATACTCCTCCTTGCAGAATGAAAGCCCTTTCCTGGAGAATTCTGCAGGACATGAAACTTTGTGTTTGCCTGACACACAGTGTGACTTTACAATGGGGGAAGTCACACAGAAAAACCTGCCTTAACCCTTCAGGGACGCATCTGGGGTACATAACTATATGGGAAGTTGAACAAACAAAATTACATGTGACCTGAGAATTTTGCTTTTTGTTGTTTGTTGTTGAGACAGTCTCACCCTGTTGCCTTGTCTGAAGTGCAGGGGTGTCATCCTAGTTCACAGCAACCTCAAACTGCTGGGCTCAAGGGATCCTCCCACCTCAGCCTCCCAGAGGGCTAATACTACAGGCCCAAGCCACCTACCCAGCCTGCTTTTTGTTGTTTTTTAAAAGAATTTCAAATTCCTTCTCCAGGGTTTCAGAAAAACAGGTATTACTGGCCCGTGGCTTCTGAAGAGCAGAGATTCCACTGCTTTAACCTGTGCTTGCTGAGAAGCTGCCTATTCATTCCCCCTGGTGGTGCTGCTGGTGGAGAAGCTGAGAGGTGGCAGAGGTCACAGGGCCACCAAGAGACAGGGTGAAGAAGGCTGGCTGCAGCCCTGTAAACCACCAACTAAGGCTGCCACCCTGCCCCCAGAAGTCTGGGTCCAGGTCCTGTGTGGTTGGATCGCCACTACCTGGAGGGCCCTGTGTCACTCAAGGCACATGACTCTGCCATCAGTAAATGATTTAACTGGTAGCTGCAGAGAGAGGAGATAACCTCCTGGGAATCCCCTGAGGTGTCAATGGCCCTCTTAAATTAGGGATCCCTTGAATGGCCCTGACCATCTAGACCCAAAGTGCCCCAGGGAAGGAGAACAGAGAGAGGAAGGAGGGCAGGGGTCCTCCCCAGGGAAGCTGGGGAGCTGGACCCGCCTTCTCTGGCAGAGCAGTTCAGCAACTGAGAAAGGAACCTCCAAACAACAGCTGTAGGATTTCTGGAAACTTCTGACTAGTATTTGCTGCTGTATTCTTTTATCACCCCTCGTCTCTCTACAAATCCGAGGAACCCAAAATAGCAGGGAGAGGACTGGGAATACCCATGGCACAGTCAGGATGGAAGGGAGAGAGCGAGCCAGAGATGGGGAACAGGTGGAGGCCCCAGAGAAGAGGTACGGTCAGAGGCTGACTGCAGAGGCTCTGGGAGGAGGGACTTCTGAAGGAAGCAAGGGCCTGACCTACTTGAGTTCTCACAAAGGTCCCAAGCATCCCTGCTTTGCACAGCCTGCGGCCCCCCCCCCCCCCCGCATGGGGGCCTTTGCATCCTTCTCTCTACCAATCATACTCTTCCTTTCCATGGGCGCCAGTTCAAGGATAACCTCCTCTGGGAAACTCCCTGATTAAGCTTAGCCCTTATTCCTTCCGTGAACCTGGGAGCTCACATCATTCTATTTTGGTTGACATCAATGTGTGACTACTGTGGGCCTTTTTTCAGGGCTCTCTCCTGACCCGGATTTGAAGCGTCTCCCTTGTTTCTGCACCTACCCACCACAGCTAGACATGGTGACTGACAAAGGCACTGGGCCAGGACACTGCCCTGCCCTGCCCTCTCTGGAGCCTGACTGTGAGGCCTCAGATCCCAGAGAGCCAGGGCACACTGGGCAGGTGGTGGGGCTAGGAGGGCAGGAACAAGGCTAGGGGAGGAAAGTTCAGGAGTGGAGTGGGCAAAGGAAAAAGTCACATCATCCCAGGAATGCCTCGTAATCCATGTACCAAACCAGCTGGCCAGAACTGGGCAGTACGCCCGAGATGGGCCACTTCTTGGGCTCACGGCCCACGCGGCTCACCAGGAGGGTGATCTCGCGCTTCATCCTGCCCATGACCAGGACTGCCACCTTCTTGGCACGGTTGATGAGGGGCAGGCTGAGGCTCATGCGGAGGTGTGGCCGGAAGGGGCTCTTGGTCAGCACCACCAGCTGCTCCCCATCCAGGCCGGTGGGCGACTGTGGGAAGAGTGAGGCCGTGTGCCCGTCGGTGCCCATGCCCAGCAGCACCAGGTCGAAGCTGTTGTTGGTCACCAGGGCTGAGATCTCGCTGGCATAGATCTGGGTGCCCTGGTCCTCCTCGGCGCAGAGCCGCTGGCGCAGCTGCACAGGCATGGGGTGGATGTTGTAGTAGGGAACCCTGACATGCTGCAGCAGGTGAGCCTGCAGGCCGTGGAAGTTGGACTCTGGGTCTGAGAGTGGGACGCAGCGCTCATCAACCAGCCACAGATGTGTGTGGGCCCAGGGGAAGCCATAGTGCCCCATGGCCAGCTGCTGGAACAGGGCCACGGGACTGGAGCCGCCTGAGAGCGCCAGGTGGAACTTGCCGAAGTGCTGCACGGCCCGCATGGCCGTGGCCTCGATGTCAGCGGCCAGTTTAGAAATCAGTTCTTCAGGCCAGGCCGAAATCAGTGGGCTTTCTCGGTACTTGGCCCTGAGGACCTGGAAGTCACTGGGCACTGGGGCAGAGCCTGGCCCAGGTACCAGCTGCTCCAGCTGCTGCTGGGAAAAGAACAACTGGCTGCCACTGAATTCAAAGTCCAACAGATGGCCATTCTCAGCCCCTCCCGGGTAGAGGCGCGGGACCTCATGGGCCAGGCTGTCCAGCACAGGGGTCCAGAAGACCCAGGAGGCCAGTAAGTTCTCCGTGGTGATGAAGGAGTCCTTTCGGCAGTGGAAGATGTGTGACAGGAGGATGGAGTAGGCGTCCTGCTCCCTCACGGGGCTGTAGGCATAGTAATCAGACAGAGGACGGCCAAAAAGGCGGAGCCCAGGCTGGTCTTCCATTTCCGTCCAGCTCTTGGAGGGTAGGAAGGGCCTGAACAGGTTCCGGCTGACCAGCACAGCGGGGCCACCCAGGTCACCATGCCCGATGTGGAAGACCACCTGCCGGGGCAGGCACTGGCTCTGTGCCTCAAGCCAGCGCCTTTCGCTCTGTACACAATGTGCCTGGTTCTTGAACAAGACCCGGACGTAGCCCACTCTCTCGTCCAAGGCTTTGCCAGACATCAGGATGAAAGGAACACCCTCCCAGCGAAGGTTGTCGATGTGGACCAGGATGCCTGAGGTGAGGGGAACGGCAGGTGACGCTCCAGCAGAACCAGGATGCCCCAGCCCCCTCCAGCCCCTGCTCAGGGTACCCACCACCTGGCCAGCCCCTGCCTTGCTGTCTCACCCCCACTTTCTGTCCACCTCATCATCTTCTCTTCCCAGTGTTCAGAAGCCAGTCCTTAGGGCCATGTCTGCGGCCTGGGCATCTATGTCTCTTGATGCCCCCTTAGAGTCATGGCCTCCGGGCAGAAGAGAACAGGGCAGCCTCTAACCCAAGACTGTGAAAGGGAGGCTGGGGGATGCCACAGAGACAGGCACTTCCCTCCTCTCCCTCCTGTTGTGGAGCACACAGGAGGCACCTGAAGCAAGGTCAGGTACAGGTGGGGGGCAGGGCCCTCACAGAGGCCCAAGCAGTGTGCAGAGTGAGGGGGATGAGGGGACACAGGGCCAGGGTGGTGAGAACCAGATGCTTACTGGACCCACAACCAAGTTCTGGGCCTTGTTTAGTTTCCATAACTTCACTAAAGCCTCATACTTCCTCACCTATAAAGGGAGGCAGTAACCATACCTCCTCGTGGTTGTGTTTGAGGAGTAAGTGGGATAAAGTGCCTAGTGTGTGGTCATTACCCGCTGAGGAGCTTCCCTCTCCCAGAAAGCTCTGGGCCTTTGGAACTGTCCAGGGGATGCCCTAGTGGGCATCAGCCTGACCAGCATGGTGCCAGTCCCCTGGAAGTGTCTCCAGCTGAGGCTGGGCAGGTTTGCAGCCTCCCTTGGGAGGCCAGCAGTGACCCCTGCGAGGGCAGCAGCTGGGGCTGAGCCTCATACAGCAGATTCTCAGGACCCATCTGCTGACACGAGAAGGCAGCCATCAGGACGTCCCTCCCTGAGAGAGCACAGAGCAGGTGACCTGCAGCTTTAGGCTGCCAGATGGCCAGAGAGGCAGAGGAATGTCATCCTTGTCACTGAACACCCTTCTGAAAATCCCAGGTGAAGTCCCTTCCACCCTAAAGCAAAGGGTGCCTGGGGCTGGAAAGCTGCTTCCAGTGGGGATTGAGGATGAGACCAGCAGCCCCTGCCCGGGGCCCGGGCCCACCTGCAAAGGTTGGCGTCAGGCTGTGGAAGCTGTCTGGCTTCTGCAGCTCTCTGCGCACCTGCTCACTGTAAGCCTGGTACTGGCCCACGACGGCACTGCCCTTCTGCAGGCCCTGCAGCGCCTGGAAGACCTGAAGCTTGTGCTGCAGCACGGCCTCCGCGCTGCTGACGTTGTGTGGCAGCTCCATGGCCACCAGGGTGAGGACCTCGGTCAGGTGGTTCTGGAGGATGTCTCGAATGACGCCATACTCCTCGTAGAAGCTGGTGCGACCTGGGTGGGATGTCATAAAGGAGCCAATGCATCAGATAGCACCATGCTGATGGGCGCCAAGACTCCAAGCCCCACACATGTCCTGCACCCTCACTCCCCAGTACCAAGGGTCTGCGAAAACTTTACATGTGGGAGGCAACCTCAGTGAGAGGAGGGGCATCTTGGAGCCACTTCCCTTCAGTGAGTACTATGCTCTTGTTTTGGGGGTTTTTTTTTTGAGACAGTTTTTCTTTGTTGCCCTGGGTAGAGTGGCTTCATCATAGCTCACAGCAACGTCAAACTCCTGGGCTCAGGTGATCCACTTGCCTCAGCTTCCTGAGTAGCTGAAACTACAAGTGCCTGCTACAACACCCAGCTATTTTTTAGAGATGGGATCTTGCTCTTGCTCAGGCTGGTCTTAAACTTCTGAGCTCAGGCAATCCACCCACCTCTGCCTCCCAGAATGCTAGGATTACAGGCGTGAGCCACTATGCTGGGCCAATGAGAACTATTCTAAGAGATTATGTCAGATCCTCGGGCCTCTCCCCAAATCTGCATGGGGAAGGCTCTACCCTAGAGAAGGGCATACTGTACTGGGGAGGGAGGGTGTGCCCAGCCCTCAGCCCTGCCCCACCCCAGGCACTGGCCAGCAGAAAGCTTGGCAGTGGGAGGCTGTGACACCCGTGGGATGGCCCCAGAGCCTGTCTGCTGCTAACTAGCGTGTGATCATGGGCGAGTTATGTAACTTTTGTTTCTGCATCCTGCCCTTAAATGAGGCTAACAAATGCCATCCCAATACTAAGTGCACACGTGAGCCAGAAAATGTGCAGGGAAGTGGGGGAAGTAGGAAGGAGAAGATAGGAAGTAAATAAAATTATAGACTAACGGTGACAGAGGGTGATGGGCAGCCCCTCTGACATCTGAAGAGTCAGCCCTGCAAAAAGCTAGAGAGAGCGTCTCAGATGAATGGACCTCTAAGTGCAAAAGCCTGGGCTGAAGTGTCACTGAAGCAGGAGCTCTCCTGAAACACTGGGGCTGGGGGGAAGGGGAGACGCCACCCAGAGTCTGAACTGACTGCACTCGGTGATGGATGACAAGAACCTGAGCAAAAAGGCGACCCCACAGGTGACCCCTAGAATTGGGGCCTAAGCAGTGGGACAGGCGGCGGTGGCATTTACAGACCCAAGAAGGCTGGGAGAATAACCGTTGGATGGAGGGAAACGCACACACTCCATTTTAATGGTAGGTTAAGCTTAAGACATCCAGGTGGAGAGGCTGAGCCGGCAGGTGCATGGGGTCTCTGTGAGGATAAAAGGAAGCAGCTCCCAGAGAACTCTAAGCACACAGCTGGACAGTAACAGGCGATGCTGACTGTGGGCCTGCCTTAGCCTGAGCCCCAGACAGAGGCCAGTCCTCCCCACACTCACAAAGTCCCCACACGGCAGGTGCCACGATTACTCTGGCTTACACACGAGGAGGGAGGCTGGTCAGGGCAGGGTCAGGATCTGGTTAACTGTGTGCTCCACTCCACTCCTTCCTCCAAGGCTCACTCTGAGTGAGGGACTCAGATGCACATGACTGTCTCAAAGCTTAGGGTTCAAGTGCACACACCTCGTATGGAGTGGTCACATGCCATTGACTTGCAAACACCAAATCCATCCACGCCACTACACACGGAGAGCCTGACATGATGGACGACCCTCTCTCAGACGCTTCTGTGTGCATCACTCACCCAGCTAAGTCCTTCTGCTCAGCCCTACGGGCTCAGCTCCCAGCCCACGCAACTATAATGTAGTGCCTGTTTCTCTCTTCCCTGCTCGACTGCAGCGCCATCAGAACAGGCCCTGTGTCTATCTTCCCAATGCTGGGTCCCCGGCTCCTAACACAGTGCCACACTCAAGACACTTGACAGCAGAGAGACCACAGACACACGTGTCATCGTGGACAAATCTCAAAAATGTGTTGTGAGAGAGAAACATGATTACCTTGCTGAATTAAAAATTAATTTGAAAATAGGATATAAAATAACCAGGATAAACAGAACGCTAATGAAGGAAGAACACAGCTGGAAATTAGAATGTCAATAGATGTGTTTTACAGATTAGAAACAGGTGAGGAAGGCAGGTCTCAATCAATTACCCCAAACGCAGGATAGAGACAGACAGATCCGCACTCGGACGCTGACAGGATGACTCTTCTTCAAAATTAAATAACAGATAATTTAGAGATTCGGACAGATATAAAAACAATATAGAGAAGTAAAGACATAATCTCCCCAAAATTTGGAACAGTAAAGAAGAAATGAGATAGCATTTCGGGAGGGACACACAGGAGATGATGTTCTTTTTTAAAAACTGGGTGGTAGGCACATCAGTGTTCGTTATAATACATATATAATCTATGACATGTATTATTTTATTTTATTCTATTTTAGTTTTTGAGACAGAATCTTGCTCTGTTGCCCAGGCTGGAGTGCCTGGGAATCAGCCTTGCTCACAGCAACTTCAGACTCCTAGGCTCAAGTGATTCTCCTGCCTGAGCATCCCAAGTAGCTGGCCCAGCTAATTTTTTCTTTTTTTTTCTTTTTAGGAGAGATGGGGTCTCACTCTCGCTCAGGGTTCAAGTGATCCTTCCATCTCAGCCTCCCAGAGTGCCAGGATTATAGACATGCACCAGTGCACCCAGCCTGATGGGCATTGTTTAAACATTAGTTTTACCCAGTATCTAGTTCATATTTAATTCAAAGAGATAGGCTCGGCGCCTGTGGCTCAAGCAGTTAAGGCACCAGCCACATACACCTAAGGTGGCGGGTTCGAATCCCCAGCCCGGACCCGCCAAACAACAATGATGGCTGCAACCAAAAAATGGCCAGGTGTTGTGGCGTGCGCCTGTAGTCCCAGCTACTTGGGAGGCTGAGGCAGGAGACTCGCTTGAGCCCAGGAGTTGGAGGTTGCTGTGAGTGAGATGCCATGGCACTCTACCCAGGGGGATAGCTTGAGGCTCCGTCTCAAAAAAAAAAAAAAAAAAAAATTCAAAGAGATAAAAAGTAATGTTTCAAGGCTTATCTATGTCATACCTGTATCAGTCCTTCATTCATTTTTATTGGCAAATAATCTTCTGATGTATGGATATGCCACATTTTGTTTTATCCTTTCAACAGTTAGTTGACCTTTGGGTCACCTCCAGTTTTTCTGCTATTTCAAATAGTGTTGCTATGAACGGTCTTGTACAAGTTTTTGTGTAGACAAACATTATTTCCCATGGGTACGTTAAGTGAAGTAAGGTGGTCACAAAAGGCCACACATTATATGATTCCATGTATATGAAATGATCAGAATAGGCAAATCTACGAAGATACAAAGTGGGCTGGTATTTTCCTAGGACTAAGGAAACAGATGGGAGAATTGGGGATGACAGTTAAATGGTATAGGATTTCTTTTGAGGATAATGACAGCATTCTAAAATTGGTGGTAGTGACAGATGTACAACTCTGTGAATATGGTAAAAGGAAAAAAAAAAAACCAAAACAGATTAAAAAAAATAATGGATCCTAGTTCAGACCTGAAGAAGGGACCATCATACTCCTTTACAGTGGCCACCCTGGGTCCTGGGCACCAGACCTGGGCCACCTTCCCTGAAGGGGCTGGCACTGGGCTCCCTCAGGCTGCTGCACTGTGAGGAGGACCAGGCCAAAGCTGGTGGAGCAAACTGCCCCCAATTCAGCCCAGCATGCCGTTCCCAACAGTAGCAGCAGTGTGGAGCGGCAAGAAATGGAGCTGGCAGCTGCTGGTAGGAAGGTGCCCTCACTCCCGAGAGAAATCTGACTGCTTAGTTCTCAACCAGAACTTGAAGGCACAGCTATGGCCAGGGATGGTCAGCCCTGAAAGGAGCAGGACGATCCACCCCAACTGGACCGTGCACCCAACATGGCAACTGCAGACCTGGGGAGGGAAACAACGGCTGAGCTCCCCTCGCCCCATGGGTTCTGGTCTTCAAAGTTCTTATGATGTTGTTGAGAAGACATCAAGAAAAAGATAATAATGATAATAACATTGTATTATGTTAATCCATTTATATAAGCAAGATCTACTAACACCCTCATTTTTTTTAAATGTAAGGAGCATGAGGTTCAGAGAGTTAGGTAACTTGCCCAAGGTCACACAACTGGTAAAGAGGTAAAAATGAGATTCGTAATCAGGCAGTGGGCCCCAGAGCTTGCAATCCTTACCACCAAGACATCTCCCTCTTAACTTCTACTAACTCCACTGTACAAAGGAATAGTGAACTCTGCGGAGTGTGGGCACATGGTGACCAAATCTTCCAATTTTTCAGAAGAATGCAAAAATTTGCATCCTTAAAGTATAATCTCTTGATCCTTAAATGTGCATGAATAATTCAGGTGTTTTAAAATGCTGTGTGTCTCAAAGTAATGTGTGTGTGGGCTGACTCTGCCCCTGGGCCACATCCTAGCTGGGTGGCCAGCAGGAGCCACACAGCAGGGGCTCCTCACAAGTTCAGGCTCCCATGGGGTGCGGCCAGCAGGAGCCACACAGCAGGGGCTCCTCACAAGTTCAGGCTCCCATGGGGTGCGGCCGGCAGGAGCACCCTGTGACACAGAATCACAGGCACTGAATAGAGGGAAAGGGCCTTGGAAACTAGACTGAGGAATGAAGGAGTTATTAAGACTTCTTGGCTTCAGTCAAACAGAGTTAGGATCTAGCAATTCCGCTCCCAGGTTTATACTCAAGAGAAATAAAAACGTATAGCCGTTTGAAAACTTGTTCATTGCGACATTATTCGTAACTGCCAAAATGTAGATACCCAAATGCCCATAAGCTGCTGACTAGATAAATGAAACATAGCATATGCATACAGTGAAATATCACTCAGCGACAGAAAGTATAATGAAGTCCTGATACACGCTACAACATGGATGAACTTTAAAAATACCATACCAAGTCCTAATAAGCCAAACACAAAAGTCTACATACTGTAAGATCCCATTTATGCAAAATGTCCAG